ACCCCCATTTTAATTGTTGGTAAAACGAGGACGATAACAATATTCATCTCAAAGAGGCATATGAGCATAAAATGCATTAATATCTGAAAAACACTAGGAACAGAGCCTGATACATTCATATTTGTTAAATAAATAAAATGCAGAGATGTTTCACATAGATCATTTCTTCTGATATTCAAAACAGGCTCTTTGATGGCTTGGGGAATCAGCCAAAGCCCCAAGAAGTACAGTGACTTGCCTAGGGCCCGCCAACTCAGCGATGGCTGGACCAGAATCATAATCTAGCTCTGTTTCTTTGCTTTATTCAAATCCTAGTTTCCCCCCTTCACAATCTGGAAACTGCTTCTATAATAAGTTGAAGCCTGAGTAAGCAACAAGACAATTAGAGGCTGACACTGGTCACAAATATGCTATTTTATCCTCCATGGTCTTCAGGGGAGCAAGTGAAGTTAAAACAAACCAAAAAACCCACAACCATCCAGCTGCTTGATATGCAAAGTGAGGGACTCACCCAGCTTCTGGCTGCCAACAGGGCTGCAGAGTGTGAGAGTGAGTAGATCATCCTAGCAAGCAAATATTAAATTTTTACAAGCTGGCCAACCTTCCTGCCCAGGAGGTAAACACTTAAGTTACTAAATAAATATTCCCTTTCTCTGCTCACTAAAAGCTCAGTTTCCTGGAAGAGCAGCTATAATTCCCAGTTTATTTGCAATTGGGATTGGGGTTACGGGCATTCCTCAAATTCTCCTTTAAATGTCTTTCCATCTAGGTGACAAAAACATATGTTCTGCTATTTTCTATTAGATAAACTTTCGCTCACATATATTTTGTATTTATGTTTTTTTTCTCAGCCACCTTTTTTTTCTTCACCATAGAGGCTGCGTGATGAGATGACAAAACATAAATGTACAGGGACAAGAGCAAGATCATCTCTAACCACAACATGCAAAATTCCATTTTTTATTTTCTGCTATTCTTTTACCACTTCTCCCTTCATATTTCCACCATGTGTGTATCTGTATGCATGCAACATATATGTTCATATAGTAGAATGAAATTATACATGTGTTTTTTAACTATGCTGTCACTTATTTTGTATCAAAATATTATTTTTGTCTGTTATGATATACTTTTTAAAACCAACTGAGAACACAGTTTTCTATAAGAGGGTGTTCCATTTATTTAATCTTACTGTTTTTAAGGGTTATTCGAATTTTTATAATTATAGGTAATATTTCATAAGAGCCTTTTTCCATTAGGGTTATCCTTTTGAGAGAGAGCCTCTAATGTAGTCATTTAGGGTCACGGTCTTGGATATAATACTATGACATTTCTTTCACCCAAAAATTGTCATAGCAGTCTTCGGTGCAGGCACTTGTGTGTATGAGTGCTCATATCACTTTTACTATCTTTCAAAATCTAGTGTGTGCCTACTGTCACTAGGCATACTGCAGAAGTGAAATTGATTTTCTGTAACAAAGCAAACCTTCAATAAAGAAATTGCTGAAAATCTTGTCTGGAAACTAAATCTAATTACTGTAATTCATAGTGAAAGCCAAAAGAGGCCTCCTGGCCCACTATTATTATATTATTTTTAACATTAGAAAGGTACTACGTTTGTCAAAGTATTTTATCATCATGTGTTTGTTAATCCCCGTAACGTGCTTTGGAAGCAATCAAGCTATTTATAGCTGGACTTTCTAGGCTGAAAATCTTTCAAAGTCCTATTGTCTTGATATCTAAACTCACTGGAACCAGCATATCAATTTACAGAATGACTCTCATTTGCAGAATTTCATGGATGGGAGGGACAGAGGTGGTTATTGGGTTCAAAAAGATCAAGAAGTCACTGTGTGGGGGGCAGAATTTTTGTAATACGCAGTAAGAATTTGCTTTCTTCTCAAACCCCCATGCCTCCATGAAATTGTGGCACTCCATCAGCTGTGGATGGTGAAACTACTGCTATTTTTTAATTTAACATTGTTGTGCTGCGCTGTTACTATAGGAGTTAGAGTTTACAGTCAATAGAATTCTTATACCATTTCAACAACTATTGGAATTATTTGATTTGTAGCTAAAGCAACGGCAGTAATATTGACACCCAACACCACCATCAGAAGTTTCTGTGACCTGAAAATTGGCCATAATTAAGAAATACATAATATAATTGATGGTCTGTAATCATGCAAATACACTTCTCTAAATAGTGGGCTTTCTTCTTTTTCCCTTCAATTGGGGAGGGACTGAGTTCTTCAGTGGACACAAGGAATGAATACATAAAAGGCTGAGAACCACTCATCTAACTCAACGTTTAGCCTCCCAAACGCCTGGATTCAAGGGGCAGATGGCAGCCGCAGACCCACACGGAGTCTCAGAAGGCGCCAGGCGCTATGGAGGTATGGGAAGGGCACCTCCCCTCAAGTCAGGAGATGGAGCAGGGAGCCCCACTCACCATTCCTACTTCCTCCAGGGATGTGCAACTTAAGTCCCTGGACAGAGCGAGGAGGCGGAACGGAGGTCCCCACCCCTGAGAGCAGTAGGATCACTGGTTGCCCTCCTCCCCAAGCCCCTTCTGCACAGCAGGAGGGCAGCAACTCTAGTGTTTTGCCAACCTGCTAGCTGACTGCAGGCACATAAGGGGGCCCAGGTTTGTAGTGACCTCGCCCATCCAGGTGAGGTCACTACAAACAGCCAAGCCAACAAAGAAATGTTGTATTCAACCAAGTTAGTTTTAGGGTGAACTGGTTTGTAGCAGAAGGTGATACAAGAACTAACTGAAGTCTAAAGAGTTAAAATGACCTGTGGAAAATCGGTCAGCAACATAGTGGCATAAATGTGAATTTGAACTAGGTCTGCGCCCGGTATGTTAGTTAACTGGTTGAGTAAATACATCTTCAGTTTACTTATTAATGAAGCCCCCTAGATTGATGTGTTAACCAAATAAACATTTATTAAGCATATATGTGTAAGTACTTTGCTAAGATACTAGAAATTCAGAAGACACGCGGCATGGTTTATGTCCCAAGAAGTCCCACGTTCTACTGCAAAGGGTAGAACATAAATAAAATACAATGTAATAAAAATAAAGAATGCACAGGGTGTTATGGGCTGATAGAAGGGAAGCTCCAACCCAGACTGACACCTACAAGTGGGCTTCCTGGTAGGAAGATGTCTACATGAAGCCTTAAAGAATATGAGGAGTTTGCCAGGTTCGGCTAAGAAGAGAGGATGAAAGTGGGGAGATGGGCAGAGAGAGTAGCAAGAGGACAAACCGCAGGCAGGGCCCACGGGTGGGGCGCGGGGGCTATAGGCAGGTCAGGGCTGCCGACACAAGAAGTATCGGCGCCGGGAGGAGAGAAAACTCTGCTGGAGATGACATCTGATCCCACGTGGTCTGTCGGACATGGCGAGGAGTTCGACCCTCTCCCCTTGACAAGGAGAAGTCAATGAAAGGTTGTAAGAGATCCGACGGGCTGGTCTGAAATATCATTCAGGCGTTAGGGGGAATGGATCTGGGGAGACGGGAAGGACGAGGGCCCGTGAGAGACTGTGTGGAAGTGAACTCTGCTGTCACAGTGTGGACGGAGACGAAAGGGTGGGATGGAAAAACGTGTTCAAGGAAGCGCCTGGAGGCACTGATAGTGGATGGGCTGGTCAGGGGGCCGAACCAAAAATGAACCCCATTTCCTGCAGGGTTGGCAGGTCTTGGGGGCCCACCAATTCTCCTATCTCTGTTGACGTCACTGACAGTTGGATTCGAGTATAAAACTTTCCACTGATCTCTGTTCTGTTGAACGGGGGGCTTTTCTCTACTATTCCTTGTGCTGAGAACCTTCTGGATCCTGATTCAGTCATTTGCTTCATCTCCGTACTGTGGGCTACAGCTTTGGGCAAGCTTCGTCCAAACCCTTCGTAAGATATTTGAAGAGAGCCAAGGATGCTGGCCGGAACTGGAGATTCAATTCTGGGTACAGCCTAAGTAGGCCAAGGTATCATCCAAAACAGTGAGGGCACAGAAGAAAGGCCCTGTGAAAAATAGAAGCAAATGACAGGTATTTCACAGGGACAAGTGATGATTCAGAAAGGCACTGTCACCTCCAGGAGGGAGAGGAATCTATCCTTTGAGTAACTGATTCCAGGGGGACCCATGAGGGTCATGGATATCACCTACAGGTTGGCTCTGTTCACTTTAATAAAAGGCAGGACCTTTCTCATGGTCAAAAATGCCCAGAGGTGGGGGCGAGCTACACTGGAAAAGAATAAGCAACTTAAGTTTTGTTTGCGAGGGTTGCCCTAACAAAATACCGCAGAATGGATACAAACCACCGCAGACTGAGTGGCTTAAACAATCACAATTTATTTCTCACAGTTCTGGAGGCTGGAAGTCCAAGATCAAGGTGTCAGCAGGGTTGGTTTCTTTCGAGGCCTCTTCTCTTTGCTGTCTTCTCTCTATGTCCTCACGCAGTCTTCATACTGTGTCCTAATCTCTTCTTTCAAGGATACCAGTCATACTGGATTAGGGCCCACCCTACTGGACCTCATTTTAATTGAAGTACCTCTTTAAAGATCCTATCCCCAAATTCAGTTACATTCTGAGGTACTGGGGGCTAGGACTCCAATAAATAAAGTTTGGTGGGGGAAGGAGGGGAACGACAAGGAAACATACAACTCAGCCACAACCTTTCAACAGGGATGTGTAAACAGAGATCTGGTGACTGCCAGGCAAGGGAAGCTGATGAAGAAATTGAAGCATCGTGTTGGGGTGTCCTTGAAGGTCCCCTTCAGGTCTCAGAGCTGCAATTCTAAATATCACAAGACAGCACCTAATCGCTGCCATTAAACATTAGTAACAATCATCTCCCCAAGGTCTCAGACAAAACTTACATTTTCATGGCAACTTAACTGACTGATGAGAAACGGTGCTCTGATTTAACCCTTCCCCACAGAAACACACACAGGCCGGCAGTCACACACGCGCAGAATGCAACCATCGTGCTCACCTGTGAAACAGGACGGACTTGACCAAGGTGACAACATCCCGGCTGGCATTATATCCGGCGCAGACGATCGCAACGTGGATTGTCTGGGAAGCAAACAAAAACAGGGCGAGCAGTTAGTCCGATGGAAGAGGGCCTTCCTGATGCTTCTGATTGCATGACAAAGAAAAACCACCCTTATTTCTCGTTGGGATCATTAGAAAACAGAGAACAGAGGCTACAGCTCCGGAAAATAACTTGAGACAGTTTTATTAAGGCCTTTTTAATCGGTTTATGGAGCTATCATCATTTGGAAACCATTAAGGCTCTTTTCAATTACATTTTGGGGACGAGGGAAATGGCCATTGGCTCAAATAAACAGTGAGTTCCCTGCCCCCAAGCTGGGAGACAATGACAGTTGGTAACAAGAGAGAAAGAAATATGCCCTAAAGGATGACGTGGCCACCAGGGACCTCAGACTGAGAAGGGATAGCTTCGGCAGGTTGTGAAATATCCTCACAAGACGTCTCAGGTGAAGGTCAACTTGGTAAGACGTCTGGGCCACCGCTGCATATCATTCAAAGAACTGAAGACTGCAGAACTGAAGGGAAGCTGACAGGCTGCCCCATCTAAGTAGTCAAAAGCATGGGCCCCAGAAATGAAGGAATGAATCCTGGCTTCATCCTTTAACCCAAGGAGACCCTGAGAGAGAGTGTCAGGTGACCCCTCGTCACATTAAGCGGCGTGCCTCGCGTCCTGCAGAACCTCATGGAGCATGTGAGGGGGCAACGCCAAAGGCGGGATATGGTTCTTGGCACACTACATTCCTACCACAGCACCAACATCCCGGAGAACTGAGCTTCCCCAAATGGAGTGCCTTGGCACCTCAGTGCACTGGGCACAGACTCCAGGAGACGAAGATACGCACCTCTCCGAGCTCCCTCGACTACCACGGGCTTGGCCACCCTCTGCTGCCAGCAACTTTCCCTATTTATTGTGCCTGCGGGCACCATGCAGGTATCAGCTTCTATAACAGAATGGATGGGCCATGCTTTGACAAAGATTGGAACGTGCTGCTCTAGGGCACCCCCTACAGGAAGCCATCTGGCCTCTCTCAAAACAGCTCCAGAGAGGGAGGGTCCACACCTCCCACACTGTCTCCTTTACCAAAGCACAGCCCTCCCGGCATCAGCACCTGCCTCCTGACCCCACTGCGGCCTCGTTCTGTCCTGGGAGGACCACAGAACAAGTTCCCTTTCGCACCCGATACTTCAATTAAAGGGAGGGTTCTTGACAGGTACCACTTCATTTCCAAAACTTCCCACGGCTCTTCCTCCCAGGGCATGGCTTCCAGACTCCCTGATCCCCTAATAAGCCACTTTAGAACGCAGTTCTGATACCCTGGTCGCTCCCACCCAGGCTCTGAGGACAATGATACCCCCCCCTACCCGCGACGCCACCGAGGGAAGCCTAACCACCCTGGGGACGTGCCCTCCAGCAGCCCTGAACGCACCTCATGAACTCTTCAATTCCAACAGCCCTCCCGCCTCCTGGGCCACAAACTCTCAGGGCCAGAAGCTGAACCTTAGCTTTGTCCGGACCCTCAATGTCTCACACATGCTGAAATCACGGGCTCCCCGCTCCCGCAGGATTCTCAGAACCTAGCCCCCGTGACACCCGCTCCTCATGCTCACGGAGAGCCCTTCCCGTGCTAGTGCTGCTTAGCGCAATGACCGTCCCCCCGGAGCATCTCACTGTACCCTTGGCTCCCTTACATGGGCACGCCCACGCTCACGAGGCAACCCCCACCCCTGGACCAGGGCCGCAGTGTCCCTCTTCCATTCTTGGGCCTGGGAATCAAGGAAGAAGCTGAAGGGAGGTGAACGAGGAATAGTAAGCGTGATGAGTGCTCATATGTATTGAGCAAATAAATCACTATGTGCTCAGTCCTGGGCTTACTGCGTTAGACAGACTATCAGACTGAAGTCTCACAGGATAGGACAGGTAGAGCATTATGATTTCAGTATTATAAATCAGGAACCACAGGCTGAGGAGGGCGAGATTCAGATTCGGGAACAGAGGTCTGAACCCCAGTGGTACATCAGAAACACGCAAGGGACTGCTGAAATAGTCCCCGTGGCCCGGCCCCGCCTGAGACCAATTAACTCACGATCTCTGATGTCCAGGACCTTCAACTACTCTGCTGAAGGCACTGGCTCTCAGCAGAGGTTAAGGAAGTCCCCTGTCCCCCTGAAACATTTTGACGATGTGGGTAGTCATTTTTGGTTGTCGCTCCTGGGGTGCGCAGGGGGAGGCCAGGGGTGCTGCTCAACATCTTCCCACGCAGAGGACGGCCCCCACAGCAAGGAATTGCCCCACCCGAAAGGTCAGGAGTGCTGTTGTTAGAAGCCCTCCTCCCAGGAAGAAAGGGGGTGAGGAGAACCTCAGTTCCCACAGGGAACCAACGCTGCCTTTGCTCAGTCTAACTGAGGCCTGCCTTCATTTCTCGACCTATAAAACAAAGACGCCCACCCTCACCTCTGGATAATGTCTCTGAAAGACTGAAATGCGGATGCAACTGTGACCATTTAAATCACAAAGGAAATGGTTAAGAAAAACACTTGTACATGGGACACAGAACCAGGAAGGGGACCAGAATGGGTAAAAACACACTAAATCAGGCTCTGTGGAATTACAAATCTTTAAACGTGAGGCCTCCGAGCTATCAAACTTTGTCTTGGTTTCAGGGTTCAGAGACTTTTAAAAATAGGCCCACTAAATGTAATTATAGGCACACATCCTCAAATATTTTACATAATTTTCTGATCTCTTTCTCTTCATCTGCTACACCTACCACGATGGATAAATTCGTCACACAAAGCCCGAGCAGCCGTGCCCTGCTGCCCAGGGGAGCAGGGAATCCAAGTGCCATGAGTGTGCTCTCGGAAGAGTTTGAGCGGGTGCAGAAATGAATGAGCAGGAGTGGGCAGGGACTGGGGGTAGGAGAGGGGAGAGGAGGAGACAGGGATGAATGGCCCTTAAAGAGCAGGGTCACAAACGTGGTCTCACCACGACAACTGTCGATCTTGAAGCTATGAAGTCCAGGTTTTCCTTTCTCAAAAAAGGAAACGGTGGCTTAAAGATAGCCCCAGGTACTGGGACATTCCTTCCATTGGAGGGAACGGTCTAAATATTGGGATTCTGTGACCACTGGTCTCCTTATCGAGGCTTCCTCCCTGTATTTATAGATGTTGCACTTGCCTTTATTGGTGGCAAAGCATGGGTAGATGGGGGGATGATGTTCTTATTGGCTCCCCCAGACTCCCTCTCTGTACCTTCCCCTGCTCGCCATTTTGCCCAGGAGCTTGACCATTGTAGGCCGAAACACTGGGTTCCTATAACTTCTGGGTTCTGGCCAAAAAGAGGGCAGGAGAAAGGAGAGATCAGACTACTCTGCCCCTGTCAGGGGCGCTGTCCTAGACTTCCAGTTCTTCCTGGGTTCACAAGGCCCGTGCCTCCCACCCGTCACCCGGGGGTCGCAATGACTCTGTCAGGGGGCTTGGCAGCCCTCGCCGGCTTCCCTCCGCCCTGCCGGTGCCTTCTACCCTGCTTTGAGCCCCTCCCACACCTTTCGAGAGCGCCACGTTTCCTGGCCCATTCTGGTGACCTCTTCAGCATCCCATTTGTCCTGGTGGCTAGGAGGGAAGCCCAGGAGACTTAGAAGCCTTCACAGATCTAAGGCTTATCCCCAAATTAGTGAAAAAGAAGGAGGATGCTGATGTGCCAAGCTTGAGAATGTATCATTGTATTTATAAATTTTAAGGAGATCAACAAAGTTCTCTGACACATGAGCCACAAGGGTCTTTCTAAGGAAGCCCATCAAGTCTCCTGCTTCCCCCGCCCCTTAGTCCTGAGTTGGGGGCTCTGTACACCTGGCACATCTGGAAGCTGCCCCTGAACACACAGGTCGGAGAGTGAACCAGGGTTCATTCCCGATGCCACAACGTTCATTCCCGTTGCTTTTGGGACCTGCAGGGAGCTTTCAGGCGTGTCGGGCATTTTTTGGTTTCCAATGTGACAGAAAAATATCCCCAAGGGTTATTTTCTCATATATGCATCTAATCAGTGTCCCGACAGAAATTCAGACCAAACTGAAAGATGGCAGGCGAGTGGTGGTCCAGCCCTGCGCCTCAGCCACACTGTCCGCAGTGACCGGAAAGGCCTGGTGCACCCTTCCAGGTGTTCTCTGCCGGAGGCACAATGTGGGGAAAGCATCCCCTGTCAGGGGACTGCAGGTGAGGGAGTGAGAGGGAAAACTGATTATAAAACTGCAGAAAGTTAGGCTCGGTCCAGAGTCTGGGCCGCAGCTCCGGACTCGGGTGTTGGGGACAGGGCCTCCCAGAGGACAGCTGCTGCCAGGTGGCAGCCGGGAGAAGCACACAGCTGGGGACAGTGGCAGGAGGGGGTCAGTGAGGAAAACCAACAAGAGTCAAGAGACCTGGGTTTGAGCTCAGTGGCCATGTGACCTTGGAACAGCTGCACTGGCGCACCTGTAAAATGGAGATGAAAATGGGCACCTTACTGGCTGCTCTGAGGGCCGACGGTTGGTGCCAGAAGGTGCACCTGGTGAGCCGCTGCATAGTCATGTTTACTGGGTGCACACACAGCAGAGAGAGGCGGCGGTATCGTCTTCCTGCTGTAACTTCATCAATATTACACAACATACTATCTACCACCCACCCACAAGGGGCTGTTGAGGACCCAGAGTCCGTGGTTCTCAAACTTGAACGTGCATCTGGGTCCCTGGCAAGGCTTATTACAAGAGTGCTGGGCCCCTCCCCAGCGCTTCTGAGGCAGGACATTGGGCGAGGGGCTCGAGGATTATCTGCATCCGGGTGATGCTGATGCTGTGTGTCCGGGGACCACACTCTGGGAACAGCTGCTCTATCTAATGCATTCTGAGGACCCTCTCCGGTAAAAACTGAGGAGCTGCTAGCGGTGGTTAGGTTGAGAGGGTATGAGGGGCTTTTACAGAATCTGTATCCAATACCTTTTCTATGGAGAGAACCATGTCTCCCTTCACTTGTATAAAACAAGTAAAGCTGGC